TGCACTTTTAATCACGCCTGATAAGTTCTCACTGTAATCCGAACTCGCATGCTTAGATGACTTCTCTCCCCCTCCCCCCTCGCCATGCGCACCCACATACTGGACCCCTGTCTCAGGTTTCCTATCGCGTTTTATCTCTCTAGGTCGATCGCTGCTTGAACAGTTTGCCTTGTCATATAACTGTTCAATGACCGTGTGCAGCTGAATGAGAGGTCTCGAAATTTGTGACGTCAGTAAATTCTGCATGCTTTGCCGTCTTTGCCTTATTCAAATTAAAAACAAAGACTTACATTTTTCACAAATACAGGCAAAATGAAATTACCGACAATGACAAGGGAAATTGGAGCGGCCATGTCTGGCTTATTAGCCGTCATCAGCCAGTCATACTAAACCCCGAATGTGGAATACCTGGGGCTCTCATGATGACGTTAGTCTACATAATAAATTACGTGTTGTCTATATTTTCAAAGAATTTTGGCAAGTCATTTCACTGTCACATTTATTATTAATACAACCCAATTGTGAAAACCCCGGCAGCCTTCCCTAGGGTTCGAACCCACGACAGCTAGGGCAAGGCGTCAGTACAGCCAACGCTCTAATCAGCCTAATTCACCTGAACAATTACAGGCAAATATCTGGAAGGGGGACTTTTCTAGCATGCGAACGCAAGCCTCAGCAATACCGTGGACAACCACATTACAAGGAACAGTTAATGACTATTGGAGCACGTTCAGCTCACTGGTCAAAAGAATCGTTGATCTGAACTGTCCACTCGGACGAAAGAAAACTAGCAACCGTCCGCCGTGGATAAACCGGAAACTTCAAACCGCGTTTAAGAGGAGAAATAAAGTGTGGAGACGTTATCGACAAACAGAAAGTCCTGAAGACCTGACGGAATACAAGCGACAGCGGAATGCGTGTAAACGCGAGGCTCATAGACTTCGAAGCAACTATGAGCTGTGCATATTACAAAATTCCTTGGAGCATCCTAAAATCCTCTATAGTTACATACGTAAGGGACAGAGCAATCGTGAACCGATTCCAGCGCTAAGATCCCAAAACGGAGTAATTGAGACGGATGACCACCTGAAAGCATCAGCCTTCTCCAATTTCTTTCAGTCGGTATTCA